TTAATTTTTTATTTAAAAATTAATAAAATTAATATCTTTAAATATAAAAAAATATAAAACTAATATTTTTATCTACCGTTTTCTCTTTAGATGTTGCTTTTGTAGCAAGTCTTGCACGATTATGAATTACTAAAAATTATTTAATTTTTATTATTAAATTGAATTTAATTAATATTTTGTGTATTCTAGTAAGAGTGCCCTATTTTACCATTTGGATTGCACCAATTTTACCACCTGGACTGCACCAAACTATAAAACAGAAGCCAGTGGATGGTAGTGAAGTCCCAATACTAGTTGCTCCAGCCCAATCCAATAATTATGATCATGCAATTTGATATAGTTTGAACCAGATAACAGTTTTTCTTTCAACCTGACTTTTCATACCACTTTGAAGGTGCAGTCTTCCTTCCTCCTGGTGGGTTCGAAGTTCAAATCGCACCATGACACTTTGTTCAAAAAAAAAAAAAACAGTTTTTCCTTCAAATTATAATACAAATGTATATTACTTTTAAGAAATAATTTTCAAATACTAACATAGTTTTTGACAATAGCATTAACACAATAAAAAAACAAGAAGCAAAAGTAAAACACTACGCAAAATTTCCCAAAAAAAAAAAAAAAAAAAAGCTCTCACTTATGTTCTTGAATTATTAAAAATCAGAGTAGGATTTTAATTTTCATTTTTCTTTGGGAAAAATAAGACTATCTTCAGACTGAAAGAAGAAAGAAATTAACGTCTGGCGCTGGCCCATATGTCTCGGTTAAGTGGGTTAATATTTATCTGATCCAAGAAGCCTGCACGGTTGGTCCATCTTAAACATTTTTTTTTTCTTTTTATGTTGGTTGTATAATGGGAGCTCCCATCCTTTATCCCACCTTACTGGCATCATTGCTAGAAAACGTAGTATAATCGATAGAAAATATTGTCGATTATACACGTATTTTTATCGATTATATCTTAATCGACAGATATAATCGACAATAATTTTTGACGTAAAAATAACAATCGAAAATGATTATAATCGATAGAAATTTTTTTTGTCGAATATAATTATATAATCGACAGTCATTGGCTGTCGATTATACCTATATTCGACAGCCAATGGCGGTCGAATATACTTGATAAAAAAATAAAAAAA